CATGTATTAGATAAAATTATAAGCAGAAAGAAACACCAATATGATAAAACAAATGTTCTTACTGCTTTGTCTTGTATTTCCGGACACAGAGTTCAACCTAAGCTATAGACTAGGAACTTAGTGATAATTTCAACTTACAAATCGATGTTCTGTTATGTGTTTCAGTATTAAAAAAAAAATTCTCTGTTTAGTCTGTAACGAGGTTGATATGAAATCCCAACAGGCCATAGCTATAGTATAAATCCATTAGGTTATTGAAAGTTCTGGTTAATTAAACAAAGCAGTTGCTCTGAGGAATTTTGCTTTCTAAGGAACTGACTATACCCTCAGAACAGGTCCGAGATCATGAAAAAGGTATACATAATTAAAGAAACATATTTTATGGATCTTTTTGAACAAGAAACACAAGCTCTCTCCCCTCTATAGTTTCTTTCTGCCTTGACACTCACCTCCCCAAAATTTTCCTTTAATCTATATACAACTAAATCCAGATATGTACTTTTACATTAACTTATTATGTAGTTGATGACCTCCTCTTGGAAAGTTCATGCTCATGATTATTCTAAATTGAAAGTTATCTTTCCATCTGTAGCCACCGAACTGCAACATTCCAGTGACAGAAGCCATTTTAGTATTGCAATCCCACCAAAGTCATCTTCTGAAGGTCATTCAAGTATTGCACATTCACCTTCCAAGTCATCTTCTGGGGTACCTGCAAGCATTGCACTTTCACCTTCCAAGTCAATTCACAAAGCTCCTACAATCATATGGACACATGGTTCTGTGGATTCCCCAATCTTGCATCATAAGCATCACTATTCTAAAAGAAAGTCCCACAATCCAACTCTAGCACCAATCTATGCAGTTCAGCCTCCAACATACAGCCATCAAGGTTTGATTCTGTGATTGAAAATCTTAAATTTTTTACAACTTTTTTTGCATTTATTGATATTAGAATGTTAAATTAATTTCATTCTGCAAAATTCTACTGAATAGGCCCTTCGGTCTTCAAATCACGACCCCCTTTCTCTTCACCAAATGTTAAAGATATTCATGCCCCGGCCCCTGCACCATCACCAGCTATTGTACCAAGTCACTTCAATGGTATAAAATCTAATTTTTCTCATTGCTTTTAGAGTTTATTTCTGTTCTAATATTTCATCTCCCTGATTGTTTATTATATCTTTTTTGGATCAGTACCCTCTACTTCACCAACAATTTCTCCTCTAGGTTCATCATTGCAGAAGAAAAAGACTCCACCACCAGCATATGAATTTGTTCTGCCACCACCACCTCCTAATAAGTGTAATCTAATCTTGATCCTGCAACTAGCTTAGAATATTGTTAAATTTATGCTAGTTCTTCTTTTTCAATAATCTGAAGAAAGCTAGCTGATGTTGATCCTACATGTAGATTGCTTGTCGATGACTTGCTCAGAGCCCTTGACGTATACACCTCCTGGGTCACCTTGTGGTTGTGTATGGCCTCTTCAGGTTAAAATCCATATCAACATTGCAATATACAAGTTTTTTCCATTGGTTGCAGAGCTAGCCAAGGAAATTGCAGCAAGTGTTTTACTGAACTATACCCAGGTTCGCATTGTGGAAGCTGATGCAGCTAGTCAGCAACTGGAGAAAACCACTGTTCTCATAGACTTAGTACCCAAAGGAGTAAAATTTGATGATACCACTGCATTTTTAATATATAAGAAATTCTGGCGCAGGGAGATTCTGATAGATTCTTCAGTCTTTGGTGCTTATGAAGTTCTCTATGTTCATTATCCAGGTTATACATTGATTATCATTTTTTAGGCCTTTCTTTTTCATAAAGTGAATATCTATGGTACATTTGGTTTTATTAGTAGAAATCTTCCCTACATTTATACTTTGGGATAACGAATGCAGGTCTTCCTCCATCTCCACCATCAACTCCCTCAGACGCTTCTGTTATAGATGATCAGCCAAATCCAGGACATGACAACAATGGAATGATGATGAAACCTTTAGGAGTAGATGTCCCAAAGAAGAAAAAAGAAGGGAGTAATGGAAGAATGATTATTATAATTGTGTTGTCATCAGTTACTGCTTTTGTTGTATTCATTGGTCTTGCTTGGATCTGCGCGCTGAAATGCTGTGCCTATGTTCATGAACACAAACCATTTCCAGATGGTTTAATTTCATCCTCTTCAAAACAATCAAGTAAGTGCAATTAACGACTCTGTAAATATTTTGTTGGTAGTTTAGAGATTGTATAAAGAAAGTTCCTTTTTATAATGATTACTGTTGTGAAACTGTTCTTAGACAATTTTGTAGCATACTATTTCCCTTTATTAAAGTACTTTTACCAATATTTGGATCCTATAAAACATAAGAATTGACTCCATTTATAGATGAATTATTTCATAAAACTTGTTTTGATGATCACATTAATCTAAAAGGTTGATTTATTTATGTGAAATGTTTTATGATTCGTACAATACCACTTTTGGTAGGGTTTCGAAGTAATTTCACATCAAATGAACTCTTTGCAATTCAGAAGCTGAATTGTGATAAACGTTGGGTTGTAACCTATAATGCTAATTCAGTCTTGGTTTATATCTGTGACTTCTCTTCATATTTTACTTCAAAAGTTGTTTTCTGGGAGATCCACCATCCATCAATTTGCTTTTCTGTCTCATGTTGTATGTAGAACTCAGTGTAATTTTATATCTAAATTTACTCTTAGCAGGGGCTGCTAGGTCATTGCCTCGCGGGATCAGGTCAGGTTCTGGATCACAGTCTTTCAATGCTGGAACAATAACATACACAGGGTCTGCTAAGATTTTTACTTTGAATGACTTAGAGAAAGCAACAAATAACTTTGATTCTTCAAGAATATTAGGAGAAGGTGGTTTTGGACTTGTTTACAAAGGTGTTCTAAATGATGGGAGGGATATAGCTGTGAAGGTTCTCAAAAGAGATGATCAGCGTGGTGGTCGTGAATTCTTGGCAGAAGTTGAGATGCTTAGCCGTCTACACCATCGAAATCTAGTTACATTGTTTGGTATATGCATAGAGAAACAGACTCGTTGCTTAGTTTATGAGCTTGTCCCTAATGGAAGTTTGGAATCCCACTTACATGGTAAACAAAAGTGCAGTTTAAAATAATTGTCATTACTGTTGGAAGTAAAAAAATATCATAGTTTTTTGGAATCTGACTTTTGAATACTCTATTTTCGTAGGAGCTGACAAGGAAACTGGTCCCTTGGATTGGAATGCACGGATGAAGATTGCTCTTGGTGCAGCTCGGGGTCTGGCCTATCTGCATGAAGATTCAAATCCATGTGTCATACATCGGGATTTCAAGGCCAGCAACATCTTGTTGGAGTATGATTTTACACCCAAGGTCTCAGATTTTGGACTGGCTAGAACAGCATTGGATGAGAGAAACAAGCACATTTCCACACATGTTATGGGAACATTTGGGTAATAATCCCTTTCTAGCCATTTCATGTTGAGGTTTTGATGAATGGATTGATTAAACATGCATGCAACGTACTCATTTCATTCCAGTATATATAGTGTTTAGCAGACCACTGACTTATATTGTTTAGGTACTTGATCTTATCTATGCATTCCAGTAATAAACCAACTCTCTGAAAATGTAAGCTGTCGGGTGAAGGAACATGGTTTTATTATAGCTCTTGGTGCTTCCCCTCTAGCAATATCCCATTGGGCTTGAACAATGTGCAAGCATACCTTTTCTATTAAAATTCAACTTTTTGGTCATAATTTCATAGACTATATCATGAGTCATGAACCAACTTTTCCCAAAACTTCAGTGATTAAAGGATGGCATGTAAAATTTTTTATTACATCTCTTAAATAATTTCTTAAGATGAAAACTGAATTTGTCTCGCTGACATGTCTTGCAGCTACTTAGCTCCTGAATATGCAATGACTGGCCATCTTCTGGTCAAGAGTGATGTTTACAGTTATGGAGTTGTACTCCTTGAGCTTCTAACTGGAAGAAAGCCCGTGGAGTTGTCACAACCACCAGGTCAAGAAAATCTTGTGACATGGGTTCGTCCACTTCTCACTAGTAAGGAGGGTTTGCAGATGATCATAGACCCAGTTGTAAAGCCTAACATTTCCGTTGATATTGTAGTTAAAGTTGCAGCAATTGCATCCATGTGTGTGCAACCAGAAGTCTCACAGCGTCCTTTCATGGGAGAAGTTGTTCAGGCCTTGAAACTGGTGTGTAGTGAGGTTGAGGAAACAGACTATTTAAGATCAATGAGTTACCAAGAGGGTTTTCTAACTGATGTGGAAGGAAATTTTTCTGAAGCTTCAGGTGAAAGAGTGGAATTTTCAGAGTATCAAAAAGCTCTATCTGGCTACCAATCTGGTGAAGAAAAGGTAGAATTATCAGCATCAGAGTTTAGTGCTTCAGGTCAGGAATTTCAGTCATTCAGGAGGTATTCTCGATCAGGGCCTCTAACCATTGGGAAGAAAAGGCAGTTCTGGCAGAAGTTGAGAAGTTTGTCTGGTGGTAGTACCAGTGAACATGGATTTTCATCAAAACTATGGTCGGGATCCCATTAAGCTTTCAACAATCTTGCGTTTTTGCTTACTAAATTTATGTTCCATGAATCACTTGTCAGATTCACTCTGCAGAAAATGCTGTGACAATAATGCAAAAAGGTTACAAACTAGAACTACTTATCAATGTATAAACTTCGTACCCTTGTTGGTTTCTAGGTAGCTATGTCTGAAGTCTGAACAATCGGTAGTACAAAGAATAGTAACAAGTTGTTCATGTCCGTAATATTAGTCATCTGTCGAAAACTGGACTTAGTTTTTTAAATGATTTAAGTGGCAGATGCAGATATATATTATGTATATATATCAAATTGGGAGGGAAATCAACAGTTTTGCATTACAAAGATTGCGTTAATAGAACACTAGGGACACTATCGTTTTGTTTCTTTTCCTTTCTTCGTTTGTCTAGTATTTATCAAGTATGTAAACATCCAGAATGATTTTTCCATTGTTCCTGGAAATAGAAAAGGTTAAAATAAGTCCTTACAATTGTTTTTTTCCTCCCCAAAAAACCATGACTTTGTCGACTTCTAATAAATCACCCTGTAGAAGAAATTACAATAAACTGCATTCATTTCCAATAATCCTATCACTAGCACTCTTTTTCTTGATGTGCAACAGTGCTTCTTCATTTAGACCACCCTTCTATTGAAGATTTAACATGATCTTCACACAGTAAATTCCTTCTTATATACCTGCCAATTTCCCCAACCTGTCTCTCAAAATCTTCAGTCCCATGTACCTGTTACAAACATAGATTATTGTCAACAAAATGCAAATGTCGGTATAATAACTTTTGAAATCAAGTTATATCCAAACATTTAGTGTACATACGTACCTGCCCATCATCATGACAGTGGCTTGAGGATTTGTTCCTGGTGATTCATCAAATGTTGAGCCATCTACCACACGGAGTCTGTCAACACCAAGGACCATGTAATCAGGATTGACTACCTTCCCCACATGGCACCCTCCATGGTAGTGCCAAATTGTGATCACAGTGTCTTTGCAGAATTGCTTTAGTGACTTTGTGTCTTTGGCATGCTTGGGTATGAAGTTGACATTAGCCTTCACAGTGAGGTTGAGGAGCTCCTCTGATGTTTTTCTGTCACACAAAGTGTAGTTTGTGAAATGTTTTGACTGGACAACCTTAATGGCCAAACGTATCCCCTTAACACAGCGCTCAAGATCATATGGATGACTGAAGTAGTTGAAGGCAACAGATGGATTGCCATTCACATTGGTGTTGACCAGCTTGAGCTCACCAACTGACCAAGGATTGGCAACTTTTGACAGAATAAAGCCTCCCTTAAATGCTTCAATCGGTAGGTCTTTCTTGTTCTTGATAAATTCTTTGATAACTTCTGGTGATCTTTGCTTAGGAGGGATCGTGGAAAGCTGCCCAATCTGGTGTCCATCATGTCAAAATGAAAAGTGACTTCTTAGTAGAATTTCTTGCTAGTTAGATACCAACCTGATATGCATACCTTAGTATATACCATGATTAACATAGTTCAGTTTCTCTGCTGAGTTTTTTTGTGTTATAAATGTCTTTAAAATACACTACTTTTGGTAGTGTACATCAGTATATTTTAAAGGCTTGACAGAGACAACAGAAAAAAAACTCAGTATAGAATCCAAATTAATGATTAACATGTTAAATGCTATGTGGAATTTGTACTGTGATGTTTGACAGTTTTGACTCTTGAGATTTAGGAAATCCTATATTATTCATGCTGCTCAGCATCCTATTTTTTTGAGTTATCAATATTTTATTCCATAAAAGAAAAATAGTTATTAAGTGTTAAGTAATGTGAAGAAGGACAGAGTTAGTAAAAAATCATAAATTCTCTTATCTGTGGTATTGTAAAACTCACTGATAACTTGAAACAAAAGAGATGTTAAAAGGACACTTGTTTCAAAATGGAGGAAGTAATTGTTAAGGATTCCAATGTTCTGACATGACTTCAGAGAAATACTGCATACCTCTGCTGACACAATACCATGATGGCAATGAATGCTATCGTTAGACTGGCTAAACCCACTGCTAGCCTCAATGTACACGCCCATCTTGGTGATTCCAACAGTTTCTATGAGTGACTGATGAACAGGTCTTTCAGAAGGAACAAACATTGTGTTCATGGGATTGTCTACCATTCCTTTTCCAACAAAGTGGTTGTCGAGGATCACTGGGATGTTCAACTTCTGGAGTTGTTCTTTTGGTCCAATTCCACTAAGCATCAGCAGTTGAGGAGTCCCAATTGCACCAGAAGACATTATCACTTCACTATGTCTATCATTTGCCAGAACAGCTTCATGCTGTTTCCTATTCTCATCTTGGAAAATAACCCCCACAGCTTTTGGTTTCTTTCCTGCAAAGGTAATTAACATTGGTTTTAGTCATTATAAGTTACTTCCAAAACCATAAACTTACTAGTTTAATATTACATGTACCTTTTGTATCAAACACAATCTTTTGGACAGTGGCATAGACCAAAACAGTAAGTTTTTCATGGTTCCCTGAAGCAAGAAGTTCAGCAGCTGTGTGGCGCCGGCCATATTTGTCAAAAATGGTTCCACCAACTTTTGTTCCATAGAGATGATCATAGGTGAAGCCATTGAAAGGTGACACACCAGAGTCCAGAAGACTGTCCCTCATTGCCCTTTGATATGCTGAAAACTTTGGACGGTGAACAATTTGGTTTTCAATCCATGGATATGACTGATTCACTAGGTTGATATCCCATCCCACCTTCTTTATAAACCTGCATTCCATACAAATTTTACCAGAAGACCTTTTAGTATGGAATATAATCTAAGTACAAGTCTAAATTTTACATAGAAACAACAAAGAATTAAATACCATATAATGATCATAAACTTAATGTCTGATTCTTGTAACAATGAATTTCATCTCACACTTTGATGGCATCAAACAGTAGAAAAATATAATTATAAGTATAAGTCTAAGTTTTACATCAACATAGCAAAGAATTGAATACCATATAATGATCATAAACTTAATGCCTGATTCCTTGTAACAATGAATGTTTTTCATCTCACACTTTGATAACATCAAAGAGTAAAAAAATATAATTCAAGATTCCTTGTAACAATGAATGTCTTTCATCTCACACTTTGATGACATCAAAAAGTAAAAAAATATAACTCATATAAATCTAAGTTTTACATCAAGACAGCAAAGAATTGAATACCATATAATGATCATAAACTAATGTCTGATTCTTGTGACAATGAATGTCTTTCATCTCACACTTTGATGGCACCAAACAGTGTAAGGGACCACAAGACATTATTTAAGTGTTGAAAATGAAAGATCACCATCAACTATTACCTCTTGGAAGTCAAGACCAGTCAATTTCTAATGGAAGAAGGTTGTAACCATTTTCGTTATGACAGTATTCTCTTCCAATTTTTGTATGTGTTTTCTGTGTCTAATGTCAGCTCAAACCTACCTTTTCTTACTATATTAAGATTAAATATCAACATCCAAGTTTTTCATCAAAAAAATACACAATAGTAAAAGTTTATCCATAATTTCATATCAAATTTAATTGACATAGACCAACAAACAATTGGCAGTTACTTTTGTCAAACACATCCAATAATAATAATAATATAATAATGATAATATATGCATATATTATATAATCAATGTGTGTATATAAAACCTAGTATTGTCAAACAATTTGTTTCTTATAATGAATATAAATATACTCAATATAAGCCACTAACATGTTTTTCTTTTTTTATGAGATCACTAATATATTCTTAAAGACACATGATTTATTTAATCTATTTAATTGTTAAATCAAAATTCATATTGATAAATCGATATAGTAAAAGAATAGGTAATTTTTATTTTTTCGTTGGTATTTTGTTTTTATATTTTAATCTTTTTCAACTTTATTTTACTCAGTTTTATTTTCCTTTTTGCCCTTCAAATAATATATATTTTTTTCTCTATACAACTAAGAAGAAGTAGTTGGACTTTATTAACATCACCGTCAAACAAGTTCATTACAGATGTACCTTCTGCTCTGCTTTGAAACATCAAATCACCAATTTTTTCAATAAAAATTACAATTTACATTTGATTTAGTTATTTGCTTCGGTTAAAACTTCAACTCATTTATGAGAATTTTCTTTGCAAATATCATAATATTTATTTTTATAATAAAATTTTGATATTAAATAAAGTTTAAGATCACAAAATTAGAAAGAAAACATGTTTGTATCTTAAAAATATATACTGTTATGAAAAAGGGATTTGAATCCCAAATAAATTTGTATGTAATGATGTAACAGCATACCATAGTTTTATTTTCTTTTATTTGTATTCCATTAATTATTTATAAGGTGTGTTTTTTATTACAAGATCGCAAAAAGTGGTTGAACTTTATTGCACAAAATTCATTACTACTACTGTTGGATATGTTGGTCCACACACAATAAAGTCAACAAAGAAAAAACCAACATAGTGAAGAATTAAAAAACAAAATAAAGGGATAAAGTCTAATTTAATTTTTTATATTTTAATCCATTATATTGTTTCTTTAATATAATATATATATATATATATATATATATATTTATTTATTTATTTATTTATTGTGTGTAACAATCCTTTAAGATAAACAGATTGACTAAATCATAAATGGGGAATACAAGGATGCCAACATTGTAATTTAGAAAATAGAAACAAAAATATATTTTACAGCATTAATTTGAGGACAAGATAATTCAAACACTATTTAAAACAGATAAAAGTGTAATATTTTGTATGCAGTGACTTTCTTATTAAACTCTGATCCAGTAAAAAGACAAGAAGAAATTAATACTTACAGGTCATCTAGATCCTACACACCAGAACTAAATGTCATTCACATGCTTGGAAAATGAATATGAAATGCTAGAAATTGAAAATGTGTTTGCATAGGATTGAAGAAAAGAATGAAGAATGGAAGAAGTTATTATACCTTGGATCTGCTCTGGTGTAGAAACCAGCATTGATAGAACTGCCACCTCCTAAGATCCTGGCCCTTGAATTGTAGACTCCATCAGATGAAACGAAGAATTGAGAAGCTGAAGTTGGTGAAACATCTGCCAAGGTAATGTGGAAGTTTTCAAGATATGAAACATTAGGGTTGGTGAAGGGAACACCTCCTCTTTCAAGCATCAGAACATTGAACTTCTGAGAGAGGGTTGCAGCCAAAGGACACCCTGCTGTGCCACCTCCAACTATTATGTAGTCATACTCATTGTTGGATGTGGTTGTTGAAATTGATGGTGATGAGAATGAGCTTGCATTTCTGATAAAAGGGTAACTTTTTTCATGCCACTGCTTGTCACCTGCAAAGAAATTTGGCTACTTTAATAGCATACACAATTTCAATGTATTATCACTGCTATAACTATGATTTGGCAGGATTTAACAAAATTTGGAGAAACAAGGTGTATATAGAGAAAATCCTTTTGAATTAAAAATGCACATACATATGTATAAGAGTAATATATCATATGAAGTGTTTTGGTTTAAGAACTTGCAAATTAAAGCATTTGTCTGTGATCTAATAACAGTGTGTATGTATGATCTAGAAATGAGATCCCAAATAAAAGTAGCAGAAACCAGAACCAGATAGATTTCTACCATAAACTACATTCACAAAATTTTCCATGTCTGAGAATTTATCAGTAGAAACCCAGATGCCAGGTGATAAAAAAATTCAGATTCAAAATGAAAATCTTTTCCATATCCATGTATCTTGAATACAAAATTCTCCCTAGAAACTGATGTTCAATATACAAGCTAAATGAAGGATCAAAGATGAGACTGAATAATGTAAGAAATTAAGCTCAAATGGTGGATGAAGATGTGAGTTGCAGATAGACAAGACCTTGGCAAGAAGGTAGAAAGTTCCAGAGCCATAGAACTTGGAACAACAAGAATTTGAGTGCACCAACTGAAGCCATGGAATCTCACGGACCAGAAAAAACACAATCTCTTTTTGTCTCTCTCTGAAGGAGCTTCTTCTTCCCAACCTAATGGCTACCTCTCATTGGTCTTGGTTTGTGTGTGCATCATATAAATATGTAAAATACAGGCTTATCCTGTTGAGATTATGGCAACAAAACATCAGTGTTAGTGAGAGAAATGAGTAAGAAAAACTAAATTAGAAATATATAACGCATAAAGACGTTACTGAGTGAGGCATTTAATGAGGAAATGAATGTAGCAGTTAGAGTCTATAGACTTTAGCCGTTGGATTTGGCATCCTATTTTCTGATCATCACGTTCATGAGTTTGTACAAAGACAGCTCATTCACCAGCCACGCTAGGATTGAAGCTCCATATTTAATATGGCACCAAAAGTTTGTTGTTTCTTTTCATATTTTTTCCCTTGTGATGGAAGATTGAAGGCCAATTCCTGCAAATATTGTCCTTCAACCAACACTGGTACTATACTTAGCACTCATTAATAATACTAACATTCATTCTCAACATGGAAAAAAATGAAAACTAGAAAAGCAAAAGTACTTTGAGCAATTAATAGTTGTTTCTGGTTCTTCTTTGTATGGTTTATTTCTGATTTGACCACAAACTGATTTTCTGCATCAGTGCTGATATTGTTTGGTGGTTTCATTTATAACGTTAGTTAGAAGTCAAATGAAGAATCAAGGGAAGAACTAATTAACCATCCATGACTTTGGTTTACTTGTTTGAGTCACCCAAATGAAATTACTAACCCCTTTGATTAAATTTTCAATCTTTATGCAAATGGACCAACCTGAACTAGTACAAATGTTGCAACTGTTAGTACAGTGTGCGAACAAAACCACCATTGTTATAGAAAGCAAAGGTTCCATTGTACTTGCCAAAGAAGCATATTGTGATGAACACAAAATTTCAAAATGACTTACACATAAGATTAAATAGCAGATTGAATAGCAGGATATGCAACTAATATCTAAATAAATGTAAGTATCAGCAAATATCATCATTGTGTTATTGTTTTCTGTGCTTCTTTATGACTTGTATTGTCAACTTTAGAATGAGTCCAAAATTAACCTCTAAAATATTTATGAAATATTTAACGGTTGTGATGTAATGTTGTGTCTGATTTATCAGGAAACCAGAAGAGAAGGAAGTAAAAATGAAAACGAGATCGTGCATAAGATAGAGTTGGCAATACGTGGAAGAATTCATGCACTTAGTTTAATGTTGCAAGCAATGTTTGGTTCCACTGGATAACCGATCAACATTAATTTGCACATGGAAGTAGTATCACATTCAAATATGCATATCTTTGTTTTTTTTTCTCTCTTTATTTTTCAGTTTAGAAAATTCTTTTTACCCCCTTTAATGTATATTTATTATAGGTATAAAAGAAAGAACATGTCAAATCAACTTCTCTAATATATTTTATCTACAATCAACTTTTTCTCCAATCCAATTTGTTTGAAAAACTTTACAAAATGCCAAGTTAAAAAAGATATAAAAAGAATTCAGTAACATTTTTTCTCCAAGTGACTCTATGTCATTTTAGGTTTCAACTCCAAACTGCAACCGCAAACTGCGTGATCGGATATTTATTAAAGACATTCCAACATTTAAGTTAGTGATTTGACCCATCGATTATCATAATAAGATCTTAAATTCATAATAAATATAATCGCATATATCCTTACCTTAAACTTATATTTTTAGGTTTCGAGATAACTTGTAATTAGCACAATCATAATCACAACTCCGGATAAATACGATTTATTTATATTTAAGACTCTTTACAATTTATGACCGGTCAGTAATCTCACTCACATGACCGACTGACCATAGTAACACATTAATCTTTGTCACACAATCTGTGACTAGTTGTGTCGTTTTACAATACATATATTTTTCTTAAGAAAATATGTTGTTATTTTTTTTTCAATACAATGTATATCTTTTATTGTAGCTAAAAACATAATATCAGTGTTGTCTAATATTCTTCCTCTAAATTACTATTATTTACACTAAAATAAAATAAAAAATTATTATAATACAACAAAAATTATATCTTGAACAAATAAAATCTTCTACTACTTATGATAATTTAACAATTTTCAATTAATATTTCTTTAACATGACAAGAAAAACTCATACATCACATAACAACTAGTTTGAAAAATAAGAAAAGATGGGAGACAAATAATTAATATAACCAAAATTAGGTTATTATTGTTTGGTGCTACAAACTTGTGTTTATGACATGATCCTTTTGTAGGGCATATATTGGACCATCCCATGAATGAGTGACATCTAGGTTAGTTGTTCCAGCCTCCCATGCTTTGTTGTCATGCCTAGGTCATTTCTTCCATTCTATTTATATATTAATGTAAATATTAATATTAAATTGTGGCTATGCTTCACTATATTAAAGTGGAAGTTAACCACACACACATATACATACATATATATATATATATACATACATATATATATATATATATATATATATATATATATATATATATATATGAGGCTTTAAATTTCCCATGACTACTGGGTGGGTAGGTAGGTAGGTAAGAAAATGGAAATTAATTTTAATTATATTTGCATAACTTTTTCTCTTTTCAAGCCCTAGTATTTGTCACTTTTCTTCAACTTTATCACAACCATTCCTTTCAATTTCATTTCCAAATTATGGAGCCCAAAAGTTGTGAGGAACCATTTGGAAAGGTTGAAGCTTCCATCAAGAATCATCCAATCATAATAACTTTTTTTAAGTCTTTTACTTTTATGTATTATAGAAAATGTATTGGGTATTAATATTTATGATAAATAAAGTGCATTAAAAAAAGTTTAAACTTTGATAGAAGAAAATTTAATTTTTTTGTATACATCCTAGTTTTGTGTCTTACTTAAAAAATGAATTAGTCATTACTTTCAAATAAATTGATTGTCTCATCTTGTCTAAATGTTCTTTAATAAATATTAAAAAATATTACAATGATTTAATAAATGATTTTGGATCTTAAAAACATTGAAAGAAACTTTCAATAAATACTTTAAATTATTTCTTTTAAGTGTTTTTTTTCTAGTTTAAGAAATCTCATTTCAAATTTTATAAGTGTTGAGGTTTCTTATAATGATGTTAACACTTAAATTAATGTGTTTGGCATAGTTATATATATATACATCAAAGGATGATAATGATTTATAATAGTACTTACATGGATGTGTAATTGTCATAGTTTAAGGTTCTAGATTTTGTTGTATAGTCACATCATATCATATATATTTATTGATTTTTCTTTTATATATTTATTTTTCCACATTTATATTTTCTAAGCTTATTAAGTCGTACTTCCTTTAAATTATCTTAATTGTTTGAAATACTGTTTGAAATACTGTTTAAAATAATTATTTTAGTTATTCTTTGAACTGTTTAAATTATCTTAATTATTTGAATTGTTACATTAAATTCTTTGGATAACTTTATGACTGAGAAGCTGTCAAATATCATTACTTATCATGGATTAGAAATCTTTTTCAATTTATTATCTTTAAAGTTCATTCATAAAAAATATAAAAGTTAATAAAATTTATCCTATGTTTCACCAAATTATTTCTATTTAAAATGCATTAGAAGTGGGGAGAAAACGTTTTTATCATTTCAAGGCTAGTATTTTAATGATGAATTATTGAATGTCTATGTTAAACTGTATATACATATATTTGTACACCACAGCTTCATGTTGTCACAGTTAGACAAGTTTGCCATGTTTATGGTAATCACGTTCGTCTTCACCAAATTCACATTAATAACATTAAGGGTTAAATATGTTTTTAGTCCCTAAACTATTGGCCGTTTCTGGTTTTCGTCCCTCTTCCAAAGTAAGGTACAATTTGGTCCTCATTCTTTAGAAAAACGTTCGTTTTAGTCCTCAAAATTTTGTTTTTAGTCTTCGTTTTAGTCTTCGTTTTAGTCCTCAAAACGTTCGTTTTTTCGACTAAAACGAACGTTTTTTAAAGATTGAGGACCAAATTGTACCTTACTTTGGAAGAGGGACGAAAACCAAAAACGGTCAATAGTTTAGGGACTAAAAACATATTTAACCCTAACATTAATGGAGATCAAAGTTTCTCAATGTATGAATTAATTTATTAAACAATAATATTCAGGGATTAAAATAATATATTTAAATTAAGTGAAATTTTAATGTTCAATCTTTATATAAAGTTATTAGTGTTTATTCTCTACAAGGTTATAAGTAGTCTTAAAGTTTTTTTTTCTTCCTCTACACATATTACATTACTTTTATCTTACATATAAACAAATATATATAAAATAAATATATCCTCCTTAATTACTAATAACATTAGTAACTTTAATCTTGTTGAAAAAAATATGAATCTAACTATAAGATGAACTTATTTTATATAGAACTAGTTTAGTGAACAAATTAGATTCTTAAAGAACTTAGATTATATATTTAGTTTGTCATATTTTTAAAGTAATTTTAATTTTCATCTAATATGTTATTCAATTTACAATAGAAAATATAATAAGAGCAACTTTGTTATATACACCAATCTAACACTCACTAAAAATAGATAATCATCAATGATAATAGATGGGTAATTAATACTGAAAAATGAGAATAGACAATCAAATACCTAATAGCATGTGTTTTTAATAAGAGTGTGTACAAATATGAAGTATTAAATGTGATGAAGGTAAGAATTAATTGCTCTAGAAAGAATGTATAGTGTTATTAAAATTTAAAGCAAGTAAAATATTATTAAATCTTGTCTAATGTTAATATTTAAATACTTCTTTCTACTTAAATTTAAGTATGTCCTAGATAATTAGGTCAAAGCATGTGATAGTTATATAAATTATATTTGTTTTTTGAATTTAACATTTACACTTTTACTGATTCAAATTTAAATTTTTTATTTTAAGCAAATCTAGAATTCAACCTAAACTTGATAAAATATTATTACAATAGTTATTCACAGATGCAAGGTGTAACATCCCAATAAATAGTAATTACCATTAATCAGAACTAATCACATTTACAGAAAATACAGTGCAGTTTTAAACTAAATAACAGCTGCTCCAAAAGAAAACAGCACGTATAAAAATAAACAGTACTGTACAGTTCATTACAGCAGATGCTCAACATTTAAAACTGAACTTGC